CCTTCCACGGCGGAGCATTGGAGGCTCACTTTGCATGGTCACCCGCAGGCGCTGACCCAGCTCGCAGGATGCTGGTGAGCCTTATTTCCAGAGCCGCCCTTTACACAACAGAAAGGATCCCAAAACACGTCGCCGCGTTGGCAAAATCAGTGCCAGTCGTTTGGTTCACGCTACACGTACGCCATCACGCCATATCAGCACCTTATTCGGCCGTTAGCCAACCTTGATTCGCCCGGCAGACGGCTTCCCTCTTCGAGGAAGCAATCCGGGGACTTTCTATCTCATCATAACAAGCCCGTCAGCTTACAAGCATCAAGAGGGCCAAAAGCTTAGTATGCTTGATATGCTGCCCAATTCAACAGGCAAAAACTGGCAAGAGATCCACAGCGGCGGCTCCGATGTGCCCAATCCACAACATCGCAGAGTTGTTGTGGGCAGACATGTTGTCTCTTATTTGCAGTAAAGTTAAATCCCATCTAACAAGAATCCTAGTTTTATCCAACGTCAGCAATGAAGGGGAGTTAGGATGCTAAATCCACGTTGTAGGCTCTATACCGTATGGAGACATCTTGGGCAGTTCCCCGAGCCTCGGACCCCTCTCCGGTCGGGATTGTACAAGTCCGCCAATTTTTCAAGCTTCATGATTTCTCACTAGATCTCCTACGGCAGATGTTGACCCGACACTTCGGAAAGATCATCAGCCGGTGGGAGAACCCTCGCCGTTTATCTGATCAAAACAGTCACAAGAAACCCGAGGTGGAGGGCAGCAATTACTCGGCCGCAGGCATACAGTCTAATCAATAATCAGATCTCCGAAGCTTATTGACTCGCGCGGGTCGGTCCAGCCCCTGAGCCACTGCGTTTTGTCATCAACGGCGACCTACTCCACGGACGGCCGAAATCTTCGGACGAAGGTGATGCCGTCCGCCGCCGCCGTCCCTCATCTTCCCCTCAGATTAAGGACGTTGAGATCTGCTATCCGTAACGGAAAGGTGGAGGACGATCGTTGGTGGGAAGGGGAGGAGCCGAGGAGGGCTAAACAGACACACGCACTCTCAAAACTCTGTTCTGCCCATCGTCATCTTGCTTGCGCGCGCGCGACTCGGGGTTCATCTTTTCTCATCAACCCAAACGAGGCCCGAAATGGGAGAAAATAAGCCACAAAGACCAGGACCCTGGTCCCTTGCCCCATCCCCGTTGCAATGTTGGTGGTGGGTGGTGACCGGCGCGTCGCCGTCTCCATGGACGGGGTTGTCGCGCGCCTGCAGAGAATTAAGGTTAATCGGCACCGATGGGCATACGACGTATTACCGGGATGCCACCTGACCCAAGCGTCAGGTTTGACAGCGTTCGTCTTGCTACTCTATTCGTACCGGTAGGTCGCCGCAGTATGGGCTTTTGGGTTTCGTGGGGGGCGCGCGGTCTAGGGCGTCCCCTTACAGACATTGGCAATCTGTATGATTAACGTTACTTGCCTTTCGTTAGTCTGCCCTCCCCTTTCCCGCTCATCCCCGACCCCCGCGGCCGGGGTCCGGGGTGCGGGCTTTCTGCTCATCTTTTTCTCCGCTTCGCGGCCGTTCGGTCTCGGACCTTGAGAGGTGTCAGGGCGGGTAGCATTCAGGGGTCAACGCCGGAGGGAGAAGGATAACTCATCAACGGCGACCGTGGTTCCTCCGAACGTTGTTGCGATAGTAATCGGGTAAAGGCTACTGCATCGTACAAGCCTTGAGCCAAGGCAGACTTTAAGCTGGCATTAGCGAAGAGTGTTTGCTTTGTGAGCTGCCTGAACAGTACTGGACTCGTGTCTTTGGTTTTCGTTATACTTTCTGAGGCGGCCTCGTCATCGCGTACAGTCGTGGGTGCGAAATAGGGGCCTCGGGGGAAGTGGAGGAAGCTCGGGGCGACGGCGGGCGTCTTTCTCATGTTCCTAACTCCCCAAACCCGAAGTTGGGATGATTAATCCGCGGGAAGGTCGACGATCACTCAACACAAGTCCGCCGTTTGATGCATATGAGGGTCAACCCCGTCTTGCCGCGGAGGATAGGCAGTAAAAGCACGGGGCAGCCGACGCGGAAAGGGGGAGACTTCCACTTCCCCGTCCGTCTCTGCGCCTGGTAAGGTCCGCCCCGTCGGGTGACCGAGTCAAGCTGGCGTTCTCGAACTGTCTTTTGACGAGGAAAGGCAGAGGGCGAGCGAGAGGGCTAACCCGAGGGAATGGAACCGTGATCCCTACACACCCCACGAACATGCATGAGGCGTTGATCTTTTCTCTTCTCTTTTGTGATACAGGGGCCGCGGGGGATGGGAAACAGACTCTCGGGTTCGAACAAGTCGAGTAACTGCGCCGATGACGAGAGGTATGCTTCCCATCGATAATCTGCCTTCTGCGTTTGCGCATGTTTAGTTTAGCCTGTTGTACAGTTTGCGATATGGTGTTTCTTGTAAGGCGTTCTTGTGTCGTATGATACCACGCCTTCGGTCTCGGTATCTCGTTGCTTGTCTGGGAGGTGAAGTCCTGCACACCCCCTCTGTACCATTCGATTAGCCCATGCCCAAGATATTGATTATGATCATACGTTTGAACCGGCGTCTTGGCCCCGAGCTACTTTGTGAATACATGTCAAACTAGGGAGGTCCGGGATTCGTTCGGTTCAGGGGGAAGCGAGCGAGGAGAGTGATGATCTGCCTTGCTTGTGGGGATGTACCTTTCTTTCCCGCCCTGAGGGTCCTGTGAGCTTGTTTGCGGCTTACGTTGGGGTCGTCTTAAGGTTTGTGGTGATGGCTTGGAAAGGCTGGGCGGGGGTAGCGGAGGGTTGAATAGGGACGACGGGCCGGGGAGGGGAGTGGGATGGGAATGGGAATGATGAGACCAACTGTTGGGGGACCGTCGTGGAGTTGACAGGTGGGCGGAAACGGTTTTGAGGGGGAGGTTCCGTAACGGCGGGATTGAGGGCTTGTGGTTTCTGTGTTGTTTGAAGGCTCTTGAATGACTTTGAAGCCAAGTTCCTCGTATTTTAATACCCAAAAACGCCTCTGTAGAATAGTGCGCGAGTTCAGCTGCGATATTCTTGGTGTGGAGTTGGGCGTTCAAAACCCGAAATCTTTGAGCGAGGCTGTCGTGTACTCGGGAATCACCTGTGGTTGAACCTAGTAGTCAGCTCTCAATCGAGTATATAGAATTTACGATAGCCCAATTGTCTTAGTATGCGGGTTTAGCTCATTCTACATTGCCTAATCTCTGTCTTGAAGCTTTTAACTTCGTTGCATCACTTCGAAGGACCGTTTTCATGAAAGTCTGCGTGACTCAAACGAAGATCTCCTGGTCCTTGTAGTCTTTGAATTTGAGAAAGTTCAACGTCATTGAGCGAACCAGGGCTTGACCATTAAATGCCTTCGTTGATCTTGTCTCTGCGGGAGGTTTGCTCATGAGCACCTGTTCACCACAGAATCGGGGGCAACTCGATTCCCGCAACGTTGTGCCTCCACCACAACACATATCGGTTGCGTTTTCACTAGTCAAATCAATGAGACATTGTGGAAGAAATGAAGCAATAGGATTCTATGTAAGTCACACGACTGAGAACCCATTGGCGGGTTCCAATTTTGGACTGCCATCCAGTGTGCCATAGAGACGGATCTAGGATTGTGTTTACTGCTATGAGTTTTGATGTAATGATCAACTGTGATCTATCTCTTCCGATTCAGTATTTTGGACTGTTGGGTCCAGGGGATGGGCTAGTTACTTACTCGTGAGGCCTGTCCGCCTAGACAATACCCCCTTCTCAGGAGTCGAAGGCGGATCCTGGCCCTAACATGAACCATGACGTCGATCACTCTTCTATTTGCAGTAACCCGAATCAGAGAGTTGTTTTTTATCTTCTTGCGGGTGAATTCTTAATAATGGTTGCCGACGCTGTAGGATGAAGTCCCACCCCCCAGCCAGTTACCTTAGGCTGCAGTTCCATGTCCAGCAGAAGAGTAGGGGGATCGAATGCGCGACTTTTGTTATATGACGACTTGAGATCTGACTGAATGAAAATTCTCAAGGCTCTGACATCTTATGCTACTCTGCTTCAGAAACTCTCTTGATAGCGCATCAGAACCCAGACGTTTAATACCACTTGAGCATTTTCCTGGAGTTTTCCGAGCTCTATTTTACTGCAGTAATGACTGGAATGAAAAATTAAAATCAGCCAATACCGAATTTAAGTCGTGAGTAGGCCAATCTTGAGTCGGTTGAAGAGTGTCAGGCTGAATATAATTGAGACTCATACCACCACGAACATATGAGTGAAGCAAATCACGCCATATCAAAGATACACCTTTACCAGAATCAACTATTACTGGGCTTGGTGTGAAAAAGAGGCCGGTTACTCCTACTACCTTACACCATGGTAATTGAACTTACTATGATTCTACTGTCGCTTTGTCTTGTCGCCGCCTTCTGTACTATTGTCGCGTATGCTATCGTCGCTGTTGTCTATCGACTCTATAAGATCCGAGTATTCTTTGAAACGACAACTCCAGCTACATGTCCCTGGAAAAAAGGCGGTTTCTTGAGAAACTCAGGATTGCGTCGCCTCCAGCCAATTTGAAGCAAGTTCGGCCTTCTGAGTTGCCCACACAGAGTCCACCCAGGTAATTGAAGAATACTTTGATTGGATCAGAATGTGAGCAGTCGTGCCGTCTTGGCGCAGTAAGGTGCACCTATCACACCAACGGGCATCTAGATAAGTCCTGTATCAGCCGATCGGTAATCTTTGTCTTCTCAGCCTGATTCTGACATTCCCCCGCATCTCCTTACTTCTTCACGTTCGCACTCCGAACCCTCTTCATGTTCTCTTTCAAGCTTCCCTTCTGCTTCAAGTCCCTTTTCGAGAGAACGACGGTCTATATCGTCTATCTCTGTCGTATATTTGAGAGCGCCACTTGCCTCTTCGACCGCTGCCTTTCACGGCCATATCACTAGGCCCCACCTATTCTCTCCGAACGACGTGGCTATGGCCGAAATAGTTGGTATCATCGGCAGTGTTGTCGGCATATTGACAGCTGCGGAAGTGGCATATCAAAAGATTAAGTCATTGAAAGGGCTCCCCGAGGCATTTGCAGAAGTTGCATTGAGATTGCCTCTTGCTCAACAAATCCTGCGTGCTATCGAGACCCAGTCTCGAAATGCTTCAAATGAGGTTGCTACAGCACTTCTTCCGGTCATCAAATCATGCAAGGGGAACTCTGACACCCTCAAGACGACATTGGAGAAACTGGATCCTGGAGAGTCTGCATCAGCATGGAGTGTTGACAGATATATATCTCTGATCAAGAGCCGTGGCAAGAAGGGACGAGTCGAAGATCTGATGAAGAAGGTTCTGGAAGACATATACACTCTGGCTAGTCACAAGGCTATCAATGCGGCAACTTCGGAGGAGCTCACCAGGCTGATGGATGCCATCGAGAAAGTGGGGAACAAGAAATCGGTCCCTGATGAGCTGCTACAAGATGATGCTGGGGTCAGTATCTCCCAAGGAGCAAATGGGTCGATGTCGAATCAAGTTGGCGATTACACCACAGCATGGAACAACTTCGGTTCTGGGGCCATCAACAACATTGGTGGAGACGCTCATTTCGGGGCCACATCAGGTCAGTAGATACTTGGAATCGTACTCATCTCTGCACTTTGTCTGTAAAGGAGTTCACCATTCCATGATGTAAATGGAAAGAACATGCTCCAAGCACCTGCCGTCCCAATCAAAGTGCTGACGAATATCGACATGTAGACCAGAGAAGACGAGATATCTTGCGCGCTTTGAATTGCGCATCCTACGAAGATCATAAGAATCGGAACCCTGAGGCTATGCCCAAAACGTGCGAATGGTTCACCGAGCACCCTACGTTCCGAGCCTGGGTGATCGACCCGGACGAAAGATTTCTTTGGGTTTCGGCGGACCCCGGTTGTGGGAAGTCGGTGCTAGCAAGGTATATGATCGACCACAAACTGAAAACATCACGAGTCATCTACTTCTTCTTCAAAGATGGTCTTGACGATCAAGACAATGCAGAAAGTGCATTGAAATGTTTGCTACATCAACTGTTGGTAGAGGGGTCACATATTTTTACTGAAGAAATACTCGGCTCTTTTGAGGAACTCGGCAAGGATAGGTATGAAGGTTTCAGCGCCCTCTGGAATATTTTCGCGAAGGTTTCCCGCAATGCCACCAACACCATCTGCATCCTGGACGCCCTTGATGAATGCAAGACTGTGGGATGGTCTAGATTGGCTAAAGCCCTCGGCGGTCTCTATGGAAACGACAATACGCACATGAGATTCATCATGTTCAGCCGGCCTTACAACCAAGTTCGAAGAGCAATTCGACAAGGCCGGATACCCCACATCAACCTTCGTGGAGAGGATGAAGTTGAAGTTAGCAAGATCTCAGCAGAGATCAACGTCGTGATTAAAAAGAAGATCAAAGACCTGGTACTGGAGTCGAAGATCAGCCTTGAGGAGCAAGATAAAGTTGTTCGAAGACTCACGAAGGTGAACAACAGGACTTATCTCTGGATTCATGTCATTTGCGACATGCTTGAGAACTTGGAGCGTGTCGAAAATAACAGTCTAGAGAGGTTTCTCGACCGTCTTCCTGAGACAGTCGAAGATGCGTACGAAAAGATCCTTGGCCAAAGTGTCGACGCTCAAATAGCAAAGACGTTGTTACACATTGTAGTAGCGGCCGCTAGGCCCTTGTCAGTGGAGGAGATGGCAATAGCCATGGCGGTTAATGGGCACCAATCATTCGACGGTGAATTTTCTGTTATGAGGACGGATTTATTTGTCGAGGGAATGAGAAATATATGTGGTCTCTTTGTGGTTGTTATCGAGAAAAAAGTCCACCTGATACACCAAACGGCCAGAGAATTTCTCATTCGGGATGTTCCATCCGCACGTTCTCTCAAATGGGAGGCATGTTTGGACTTGGAGGAATCAAACCGGATTCTCACGAGAATATGCGTTTGGTATTTGCTCAACATTGGATTACAGCGTCCACTCTCCATGGGGCCTACCAGAAGAGCACTGGTGGGGTATTCAAAGATTTATGTGATGTTCGACTACGCTTCGAGATACTGGACTTCTCACTATCGACAGTCGAAGATGGAAGAAAGTTTAGACTTTAGCCGGGATATGGTTCAACTATTCGATACAAGTTGGACAGGCTGCATCACCTGGTACAGCTACTTTATGGACAAGCAGAACTCTTCTGTTGGGTGGCTCAACTCCGACCCACTCCTACTGGCTGCTAGTCTTGGTATCGGGCATGTAGTAAAGGACATACTTGCGGAAGGAAAGTATAGACTTCATGCAAGGGATGTCTCTCACTTTCGGTCCGCTCTGTACTGGAGCGCCCGTTCAGGTTGTCATGATGTCGTCGTCATACTGCTCGAGATGAGAAACAAGAGGGAAATATTCATGGATTATGAACGTCTCGATATCGGAAAGTCTCTGATAGTCGCATCACAAAACGGGCACGTATCCATCGTCGAAACTCTTTTGAAAGTTGGGAAAGCCAAACTCAGTCAAAAAGACGCCAAATCTGCGTTATCAGCCGCCGCGAGCTTAGGATCTAACTCCATTGTCAGGCTGCTCCTTTCCAGCAAATTTGACCACGAGATAAAAGTTCCCCAGCCACAGTGGAAGAAGTGGCTTCAAATGGGTCAATCCAACGATCAAAATGAACATGATCTGTATGAACATCATCAGTATGATCGATACATGTATGGTCGGCATGATGAATACAAAAGTCCTCTGTCATCCGCAGCGGATCATGGTCATTTAGCGACGGTCAGGTTGCTTCTTGAGTCTGGTAAAATAAGCCCTGACTCTAAGGACTGGACAGATCAAACACCGCTTTCGTATGCAGCAAAGTCGGGATACACAGATGTCGTAAAGATTCTTTTGGACACGGGCAAAGTCGACGTTAACTCACGGGATAATATCGGGAAAACGCCTCTTTCGCACGCAGTACGATACGGACACGCGAAGATTGTGAAGATGCTCTTGGACACGAGTAATATCGATGTGAATCCACGAGAATACCTCGGAAAAACGCCGCTTTCTCTAGCAGTAACATTTGGCTACACAAATATCGTCAAGATGCTTCTGGAAACTGGCGACGTCGAATTCAACACACGAGACAACCACGGAAACACCCCGATTTCATTAGCAGTGAAGAAAGGAAACCTGGCAGTTGTTGAGATGCTTCTAGCGACTGGCAAGGCTGGCGATATGAAGTCGCGAAACCTAGAGGACAAGAAACCTCTTGCCATTGCAATGATGGAGGGCCTGCCGCGTGTAGTCAACTCGTTGGTGACCAGCCGCAACATTCTTGAAGAGCGCCCGGACCCGGAGCTTATCTCATCTGCAGCAGCAAAAGATGATTTATCAATCGTCATGCTTCTGCACGAAGAGGGGAATGCTGAGCTAGGTATGACGGATACAGACATACTGGATGGAGGTGCGATTATGGTGGCGCTCGAAAATGGGTCAAAGAAGGTGTTTGAATATCTCCTCGATGCCGGGAAGGTGGATGTCAATGTCGAATTCAACTGGAAATCTCGAACGAGCAACACGCACCGTTCTACGCTTCTTACACAAGCTGTAGCAAGTGGCCGCCCTGATATCGTGAGAATCTTGCTCTCGAGAAAGGCCGATGTCAATTTGAAGTCAGGGGAAGATGGTGCGACAGCTCTATCGACTGCAGTGGCATGTGGTCGACTGGACATCGTGAAAGCACTTCTCCGAGCTGAGGGGCTAGATCTCAGTCTGAGGTGCCAGGACGACCTAACAACACGGCTAATAGCAAGAAAGCTGCATGCTAGATATAGCAAGCGTCGCCATCGACAATTCATCAAGCACGGCTACATATTTAGGGAAATTATTTTTCGGCTGAACTGGTACATATTTTCATTGTGGGATCACGGCGAGGCGTTGCAGAGTATGGAAAGAAGCATCACTGAGAAAAGGGACACTGAGGTGTGGCATTCCCATGCAGACTTAAGAATTTGATATAGAATTGAGAGTGTTAGGCTACAAGAAAGATGTATTTCGACTTGCATTGCAGGGTGTTCAGAAACATTCACATGTATTTCGCTAGGAAGACGAGCGCTATCTTCTGATCCTGCGTTGGTCACACATCTCATCAAAGGCGAGTGCGGTGCTCTAGCGGGGATTAGCACTAGCAGAGATGCTTTTCCCCGGGTCGAACGACACCAGCTTAAAAAAGAAGAAAAAAAAAAAAGGGAAAAAAAACGCAAACACAATCCTGATCAATTGACGTGTCTTCTGTAATGAAGCATACCTCGGCCCGTCAGTGGGTGTGGCATGCCGCACTGCATCACGGAAATGCATCAGATGTCCCACTTCAGTGAGGGGCCGAACCGGCGGGGTGGATCTTCTGGAAGGAAGGAAGAAGCTGTCAGCATGAATAATCCAATTCTCAGCGGTCCAACTGCGAAAATTTCCATCGAATCACCACCTGCACCCAACCGCCCCGCTGCCGCGTGCGGTGCCGCCTTAGGTAAGTGCTTAGACAGCTTCGCAGGGAGCATGTGTAAGACCCCCTACAGTAGCCTCCGTCAGTATTGGCAATAGATATAAGCGGCAGATGAGATTTGCAAATGCTGAACAAGTATTCTAAACCAATTTTCAAGTTGATTCTCGAGCTTACTAGTTTTTCTATCTCGCGAAGCTCCAAACGCGCAGCAAGTATATATGCCTCGTCTCGCGACACTCACTGCGATTTTCGCTGTTTTCATTTCCATCATCATCTTCAACACTCAACTCAAGAGCTTCATCACAGACCTGAGAGCCCCACTTCTCAAGACCAACACCACCACCAACATCGCATCTCCAGAGCCAGAGTCTATGCTCAACGCAGCCAAGAACACAATGTCCAAGACCCTCCACCACGCAAAGATCACCCCGCACCGGAGCGGCACCCGCGGCCACTCCGACCACGGGTGGCTCAACACCTACCACAGCTTCTCCTTCGCCGACTGGTACGACCCGCGCTTCAACAACTTCGGCGCCCTGCGCGTGCTCAACGAGGACCGCGTCAAGGCCAACAGCGGCTTCCCGACGCACCCGCATCGCGATTTTGAGATCTTCAGCTACATCCTCTCGGGCGAGCTGACGCACCGCGACTCCATGCTGCAGAAGGGCAGCGAGGGCGCCCAGAGCGACAAGTTCTACCGCATGCACCGCGGTGACGTCCAGTTCACCACTGGCGGCACCGGCATCGCGCACTCCGAGATGAACGAGCACGGCCGCGACACGGTGCACTTCCTGCAGATCTGGGCCATCCCGTGGAAGCGCGGGCTGCCGCCAACCTACCACACCCGCCACTTCGCCGAGGAGGAGAAGCGCCAGGGCTTTGTCAAGATTCTCTCGCCGCTGAAGGCTGGCCCGGAGGCCACGCTCGCGGAGGAGAAGGCGGCGGAGCCGTCTATCCCGGACACCATCCCGATCCACGCCGACTTCGTCATGGGCGCGGGTATCATTGAGCCCAACAAGGCTTTTGAGTGGAACGTCGGCGCCAAGGTCACGCAGCAGACGAAGCGCAAGGTATTTGTTCATTTGCCGATGACCAAGGGCGGCAAGGCCAAGATTCGCATCGACGGTCGCGATGACGCCGTCTTGTCGGAGGGCGACGGCGCATTCGTGGATGCGGTCAATGCAGGCGACAAGTTGAATGTGGAGAGCATTGGAGAGGCCGATGCCGAGGTTGTTGTTTTGGATACGGCGTAGACATTGGGCGGATATACCACGGAAAGATAGACTTTGTTTGAGCGATTAGCATGTCACATTTACATACCAATACAACAAGATTGAATAAGCTCTGAGGCTAGCTGCGATTGATTGCCAATGTGACCGGAAAAGCCACTGAATGACGATGCGCAGGGCACAGCTGAAGGATCTGGGCAGTGACGTGCGACCTATTCCGATGAGATGGGATGAAATGCTTGATCGCACACGCGTACGCAGGGTAGGACAGATGGAATTCAGACGATATCCGTCATCGTCTTCGCCTTCCTGCGGGATGCTAATTTTAGTGGTCGCCAAGTTATCTCCCACTTTACGGTGAGGATTGTTTCATCGCCAGTCAGTCGGTTGCAGCCAATCTATGTGAACCGCACATGGGTGAGCCGCGGATAGAGAAGCTATCCATCTCGAGCCGCATTTGGCGCCGCGCAGCAACGTTAATAGAGTGGTGATATGTCGGAGGTGCAATGTGAAGCTGACAATGTTGAGAATAAGCAGTGATGAGAGAAAGATGGTTCACCACGGTGAAAGGTGCGCAACATGATCAGTCATACAGTGCACACGGTCGTTCATACAGTAGCGTAATACAAGTTTGGTGACCAAAAGACAGTGCGAAGTGACGCAAAAATTGTGGTGCGGGGGATGCTTGACAAATCAAGCTTCAATTTTTCACTCGAGACTTTTCCCAAACTCACCATCACGTATTTTTCCGCCACTGAGGCCATTCGCACCAGGAGACCACATAACAGGATCTCCCAGCCTTTCCGCCTCGCCGTCTCCCAAAATGCATCTCCAACCCATCGACAACACGGAAATAGAGCCCTTCACCATCGCCATGGATCCCGACCCCCGGCTCAACCCCGCCATGGAAGCGCAGCAAGACCCCTTCGACGACGTCTGGGGCTCCGCGCCAGGCTCGCCAACCGTCGTGGCCCTCGACGCACCCGCGGGCGCGCACCCGTCAGACATGCCAAGGCTGCAGGCCGAACACACGACCGCCGGCTACCGCGAGGGCGTCACCGCCGCCAAGGCCACGAGCATCCAGGCAGGGTTCGACGAGGGCTTCAGCCTGGGCGCCGAGATCGGGTCCCTGGCGGGCCAGCTCCTGGGCCTGCTCGAAGGAATCGCCCACGCCTTGGATGATGGCGGCCAGGGAGATGAAGCCGTCGCGAAGGATGCGCGACGGGCCCTTGACGAGGCCAAAGCTGAGCTCAAGACTGACTCGATCTTTACGCCTGCCTTCTGGAATACCGACGGCACCTGGAAGTTCCACGTCGAGAGATCATCGTCATCGGGCGATGAAGAAATTCTCTTCTCCGACGTGGCTCGTGCCCATCCCCTCATTCAGAAGTGGACAAAGGCCGTAGATGCCGAGATTGAGCGATGGGGCATCGAACTCAATGCCATCGGCGACGCAGAGGACCACGAGAGACAGCCCAGCCCGGAGCGGGTGCCGAGCTCTGCGGTACCGCAGACGAAGAAGGCGCTGGACTGGTGAAGTTTTCTTTGCTAGCGTCTGCTCTAGAGCACGGGCACCCAACATCGCCTTCTATTCCCCATCCAGCCTTTATGCGAATGAGGCATCGGGCCGAGCGGGTTTCTGTATGCGAGATCTCAGCTACGGCGCCGCTGGCCCTACAGGAGCACATCGCTCAAGGATGCACACACAAAAGATCGATGCAGTTTCTAGTAAGTTGTCTTTAGATGGCTATGCAAAGTGGGAACCCATGATGCTAACCGCCCATAGCTGAACAAATTGCCGTAATATTACGGGTGTGTTATGACTCGGCTCTTTGATCTCCCCAGAAGGCGAGGAATCCCTCTCTTTACGGCTAGAGCCGAGTTAAATCGGACTCACGAGAGGGGGTCCCTTCGCAAGGAAACCACACTTTCTCGTCTCAGGTGTGGCGAGTGGTGGCCTCTTAGTCCAGCCGCAAGCGCAACGGTTGTGGCGTCAAGCCAGCTCAACGAAACGAGGAGTCCCATGGCTCGGGTGGCTTTCTCGTCCTCTTCGCTGCATTTCCTATTTTTGAAAGAGGCCTGCTAGGTTAGGCTTCTTCGGGTGAATCCTGCAAGCCAAGGGAATGTTTGGACGAAATGTGGTCATGCCGCATGTCAGCTTCGCTGACAGGAAACCAAATAGTTTCGAGATGCAAAGGAACGAAAGCAGCAATGCCACTAATCTAGAGAAACAAAATGAACTTTCGAACTTTGCTTCTGTCTGTCTTGCCTGCACTGCCGCATAAATGAGGATTCGCATGAACCTTTCCCACGTCAACAAAGTACTATCGAAAGATCGGCCGGCGAAATTTGCTGTCCTTTAAGCGCTGATGCTAAGCAAGAGGTCATCGCCCTCCTATGGGCCTTACGAGAACTAGCGATATCCCGTCGGGGCCGTGAGGCCACCACCACTCTTGACATCATCCAACCCTCCATCACAAAACTTCGGAGTTCGCGAAAAGACAAGAAAAAAAAGGGGTGACAGGAAGTTTCCCAGAACGTGCCTCGGGCTGCTTTGACCTTGGAAATTGGCCAAAATCATGGGAGAGGGGCCTGTGGTGTTTCGAAAGTTCGGATGATGGGCTGTGCTGCCTCACATACCGTAGTAATGGAGGGGTGGCCAGGTCCCATTCTTAGTCGAAGTCTCTTTAAGCTCACCACCTTGCTGCAAGGAACAAACCCGCGCCACTTTAGCGCGCCTCCTGGTACCTCCTGGTTTGTCGGACGACGTGACATCGCCCACCCGCACCTGGGCGAATCCGGAAGCTGTTGGTTGGCTACTGGGCTCTCTCTCTCTCTCTCTCCTGTTCCTGTTAGTGCAGACTACCACTACTTTTTCCCGCGCAGGGATCACGTCCAATCTGCCGACAGAGGGCCCAGCACCGTCCCTGCATCACGACCATGCGCAACATCAATGGCTGCGCCCATCCCCCAGCTTTCGCCTACTAGTGGCTTTCTTTTTTTCCCTTCCGAGGAGAAGATGGAGAAATAGCCCTGGCGCAACTAGACCGGCCCTTCCCCGGCACACCCAAATGGCGTTTAGCCCAACGTCGTGCTCGACCACCTGCTCACCCGTATCCGTACCTGTCGTCCCAAATTGAGTCCAACGCAATTTCAGCCAGGCCACACTCTATCCAGGACGTTCCTTGTGATCACGTCCCCATCTCTCACCCCCTGGATGATCGACTAGCATCCACGAACCGTTTGGTCCAATCGCGTCGATCTTAGGATAGCGATGGAGGCCTGCGGGTTAGGTAGCATCTTTCTTTCTGTGAAGCCCCATGCCCGCAGCCCCTCTTAGCCTTAGCAGCACTCTCTATGGCGGAAGAAAATGACATGATGAAATCGAACTAGTCCATCATGGGCGCGACTCAGCCTGGGCCCCACGAGTCTATTCGAGGAAGGGGCGGCCTTCTCCCGGCTTACATCGTCATTATTCCCCTTTCAGCGTATGTACGGCGGGGAGGAGGAAAAGATTCAAAAGGCTGCCTCTTCACCCTGTTTGTTCTGCCCTCTTTTCCTACCTTCTCTCTTCAGTATCTCTGATACCCTTACACTCACTAATAATCTGCAATACAAACCCTTTTCCCACTCTCCTTCTATCACTCCTTCACAGAACACCACCCCTCGTCACTCTCTCTCGAGGTTTATTCTCATACATACCCCCACACACAAACACCCACCCACACACACATCAAAATGCGTTACTCTACCATCGCAGCTCTCAGCTTTGCCGCCGTCGCCCAGGCCACCTGGGACGGCAAGTTCAGCTACCCCCCCGGCATCGAGCCCCTCGGCCTGACCGGCAGCGCGGACTTCAGCGTCAAGACCTTCGGCCCCATCTCGGCGCCCCCGGCCGACTGCATCTCCGTCTGGCACCCTCCCCACCCGGACGTCTACATCGACGACTGCGACTCCGACAAGGAGCACGGCTGGCACTGGGTCCACCCGGGAAAGCCCAAGTGGGGCAAGCCCGGCCACGGCAAGTGTGACAAGGACGGCAACAACTGTGGTGACAAGGGCGGAGACAAGGGCGGCGACAAGGGCGGCGACAAGGGCGGCGACAAGGGCGGCGACAAGTGCGACAAGGACGGCAAGTGCGGCGACAAGGGCGGCGACCACGACAAGCCCCAGAAGACCGAGACGCCGCCCCAGCCCACCGACACCCCCGACGAGCCGGAGCAGCCCGAGCCCACCACCACCCCGCAGTGGAAGTGGACCACCTCCACCATCACCCAGACCGCCGTCCACACCGTCATCTCCTGCGCCCCCGAGGTCACCAACTGCCCCGGCAACGGCGGCGGCAACGGCGGCACCGCCTACAAGACCGTCACCGTCCCCGCCGTCGTGACCATCTGCCCCGTCCCCGTCAACCCGGCCCCGGGCCCCTCCGCGCCCCCCGCCGCTCCCCCGGCTGCCCCCACCACCGCCGTCGAGCAGCCCGCCCCCAGCGCGCCCGCTCCCCCGGCCACCCTCTCCTCCGTCGTCATCCCCCCGGTCTCTGCTCCCCCCGCCGCGCCCCCGGCCGCCACCACCACCAAGCCCGCCGACGTCGGCACCGTCACCAAGCCCAACCCCACGGCCACCACCAGCCGCGCCGTCGTCACCGCCGCCGCTGCTCCCAACGCCCAGCGCGTCGGCGGCATGGTCCTCGCCGCCGTCGCCGCTGCCGCCGCCTTCATCTGAACAATACACAAAAACCTGCAATAATCACACACTTAGACTTGCACAACTTTTTATGAGATTTTTGGTTGTTTTTTCGTGTTCAATTCAAAGGGGGGTGTGTAGACGGGGTAAAGGGGTTTTCTCATGCGGACACACACATCAATGATATCAAAGGCACACGGGACACATGGGGAAATGGGAATTAACTTTGGGAATGACAAACGGGGTTAACTTGGACGGGTTGGGTCGGCTCTTTCTTCCTCTGGGACTTTCGCGCTGAGAGAAGCGCGGAGGGGGGGATTGGGGGGCACTCTGGCGTCTAAACACCCAACTTAATTAGTGTAAGGCTAATATAATGGGTTCCGGTTCTTTTTTTACGACTTCTGGCTTGCCTCTCCGCGATCTTGCTCTAGCGTGATCGACGATGACCCAAATCTCGCACTGACAGTCCAAACGGCCTTGTGGCGGCGCCGTTACCTTGTGAAGTCTTCGAAGGAGCTGTCTCATCCCCGTGGTGTCCCCGAGGGCGAATGGCGGTGAAATATCTTTTCCCCAGGTTTGTTTTTCCGCCGGAGGTTGCGATCAGCGGAAAGCTCGTCTGAAGAGTCTGGGGGATCGACAGATTGGGTAGCTCATTTCCCCCGCGCGATCTGCTCCGTCCGAACTCGAGGGAACCTGGTCTTAATTGGGAATCCCCAAGGTTTTGCGGTCGGAGAGGACCGAGTTGGCTGCATAGCGCTGCAGATTATGGTCAATATGCTTATATTTGTGTCAGGGCGTGGCCCGGACGATCCGGAGACAACATGAGTCGAGGATCGGGCTTAGCCTAGACTGATAGAGCTTCGCAATGATGGTTTGCAGTGTTCTCTTCGTTGATTACTGCACCTCATCCGTAAGATTGGGTGCTAATGCGGTCCTTGAAGGGTCGGAGGATCCTGTGGCAAGCCCCCTATCTTTGGTCACGGTGTCGGTGGTCTCAAAGTTCGCAGAAAACACCTCCTTTCTGTGTATCGGTGTTTGCGGATATCATCGAGAACCCCATACTGATTGAGCCATCGAGTCTGCGCTTTGAGAGACAGGTATTGACGATGTCCATTTTCTGTCCTGGTCTCAAGTGCGTGTCAGACACTTGGCGACGTCTTCGACGCGACGGCTCTCTCCAAGCAACTCTCGTGTGACCTCTCGGTCTCTTCCACCGCTGCCGAGAACGACAACCTTTTGGATCTGCCCATCCTCGCTCATGACCAATCTGCCTGATCTGCCGTCGGCCCACTCAAGACTGATCTGCTTCGCTTCGCCATCTGCTGCAGTGATGCTGACCACAGCCTGCTCCGAATCGTCCTCTCGCGGACCGCCGCGCAGCCCTGCCGCTCTTTGCAGGTCGCCAATGACAGCAATACGATTGTGGTAACGGACAATCTCCCTCCTCAACGTCCGGACAAAGCGCGATAGGTCCTGCGTCGTCTGCCTCTCGGCGTCGGCTGGTCTCGGAGCGGGCAAGTGTCGCGCAGCGAGTCCTGAGAGCGGGATGCAGACGGGGACGGTATGGCGATGCACTCGCAGGTGACGCGAGTCCTTGTATGGTCGATTGAGCATTACGTAGAACGGTCGTCGGAAGCGCGCGTCGGCCATGAGCTCGATGCGGATGCCGAGGACGTTACCGTGGTCGACGGCGTTCGGGTCAGGATCTTGGACCTTGAAGGTCGTGACGGTCGCGCATGTGCGGTAGAGGCATTGCTGGTCGTGCGCGTCTTGGGCTTTCGATCGGGAGAGGATCTCTTCGCGGTCTAGTTTCGATTTGGAGGGCAGCGCCAGCGCGCCGCGGTTGCGGTCGGCTTCTTTGAGGGCTTGTCGCGTCGATTCTGACGAGATCAAAGCCGTGGCCTGGATTTTGACGTCCCTTTTCAAAGATTTGACTGTCGCATTGTGACTTAGCAACTAACATGTAGCAATTCGACATGCAACCTACGTCTGGTCTTGAGGTCTTTGATCTCTTGGTTGAGGGCCTCGGCAGCCGCGTCTTGCGGTTGCGGTTCAGCCGACATGGCGCCCACTGATCTCTGTTGAAGACGATGTGCAAGACGACGTGTGTTGATTTCTTCGGAGTAAAATTCAATGGGTGGTGGCTGCGATGATGCGATTGAGGGTGCTGAATGCGGCGACGCGTCTGAGAAGTTGAATCTTGTCGCCGAGAAGCGCAAATCAACAAAACATCATTCGGCCGGGCCATGGTGCCGTGGTGGAATACGACCTCTGACCTGCGGGTGCCTTATCTAATCTGCTATCTTATCAGCCCTCCAGTTCTCCATTTTAGGCATGGCGCCAGGGGTCCCCCGAGGCAGCTCCCTTCGGGTGGCTTTCCAGCAGCGGAGTGGATCGAGTCGGCGACTGGAACTCAGGTGGACGAGGATAAGCTTCTTTGCTGCGCCTGTCTCCCCCGTCCCGTCTCTTTCTTCTTTGTTCGCCAAGTATCGTCGCAATCAAGAACACAGCGCCTTCGCCTTCTTGCTCTGCTTCGGTAAATCTTCTCCGCGTCTCAGTCCACTTGGACTTGGGTCTCTTTTTTTCTGTCATATTGTTTCTCCTCATTGAAAAACCTTCTTACAGTCATTTACTGGAGCCTAATAAAGCGGCCCGCCGACCATTATTCATTCATTGTTGTTGCCACAGCCTTTTCCCCAAAAAGTGTCAAAGGCCACGGTTGCGCTTCCCGTCCACTCGTCCCGGGACGAACACACATCGACTTCCTCGCGCGCACTCCTACCAATCCAACACCCGACCGCACAAACTTCGCGCGTCCCGCTGCCTAGCGCTTCTTCCGCTTGTCACTGGTTTCCAGCTGCTTTTTAAGCAGTGTCGCCTTGACTCCCACGGACTTTGCTCCACCCCGCCTTCGACCTTATCTCGATCCGTACTCGAAACCCAAACTTTTGTCCTCACGACTCTCGACTTGTCGCACAAAGTCTTCCAACCTCTTTCTCTAAACTCTACATACTACTGTTTCTTTCCAACTACTCCACGCTGCTCCCCACCCTACGACTACGCCGCAGATTCACGATTACCAAGCACAAATGAGCGTCCGAACCCGCCGGAACAAGTCCACGAAGCGCAAAGCTTTGGCCGATCTTGCCGTCGACACAGACGGCACCAACGGCCACGCCAACGGCGATATGAATCAGAACAACGTTGAATACCGGCGGAAGACGACAGCCCCCGGCTCCGACACCGTCACCGCGAACCTCATGGCGCGCGAATCCTTCACCCTCGACGACCCCGTCCCCAAGACGCCCATCGCGAACAACCATGGCTTCTTCGAGCTGCCCGTGCAAGACCAGCGCAACTTCCTCCTGTTGGTGCTGCTGTACTTCTTGCAGGGTGTGCCCATGGGTCTCGCCGGCGGCTCCGTGCCGTTCCTCATGAAGGATCACATGTCATACAGCGAGATTGGAATCTTCAGTCTGGCGTCGTATCCCTACTCGCTGAAGCTCCTGTGGAGCCCGATCGTCGATGCGGTATGGAGCCCCAAGTTTGGGCGTAGAAAGAGCTGGATCCTCCCCATCCAGCTGCTCTCTGGTCTGGGAATGCTGTGGCTCGGCTCGACCGTCGAGAACATGATGGCTACGACTGGAAAGCCCGGTGGCCCGACCGTGTGGAACTTCACCGGGTGGTGGTTCTTCTTGGTGTTTATGTGCGCCACTCAAGATATTGCCGTAGACGGCTGGGCCCTGACTCTACTGACTCCCGGGAATGTCTCGTATGCTTCCACTGCGCAAACTGTTGGTCTGACTGCCGGCCACTTCCTGTCCTACACGGTGTTTTTGGCGTTCAACTCCAAGGACTTTGCCAACCGCTACTTCCGCAGCACCCCGCTTGACACGGGCTTGATGAACCTTGGCGGCTATCTCACCTTTTGGGGCTGGGCCTACATTGCCATTACCATCGGCCTGTCTCTGTTCAAGCGTGAGGAGAAGACCAAGAACGAGGACGGCATCTGGGACGTGTACAAGATCATGTGGGGCGTTCTCAAGCTCAAGAACATTCAGACGATTATCATCGTCCATCTCATCGCCAAGATCGGTTTCCAGGCGAACGATGCCGTCACCAACCTCAAGCTCATTGACAAGGGCTTTGGCCAGGAGAATATGGCTTTGACTGTTCTGATCGACTTTCCCTTTGAGATTGCGCTTGGGTACTACGCCGGAAAGTGGTCGCAAGAGTACACCCCGATGCGTCTGTGGTGCTGGGGCTTCATGGGTCGTCTCGTCGCGGCTCTGATTGCGCAGTTCACCGTCACAATCTTCCCCGCCGGCGGCGTGACTTCTTGGTACATGCTTGTTGTCATTGGAGAGCACGTCTTCTCGACCTTCACCAACACCGTAATGTTCGTCGCCGTCTCAGCGTTCCACGCTAGAATCGCAGACCCTGTCATTGGCGGCACTTACATGACACTGCTGGCCACGTAAGTGTTCTCTCCATCCGTTCGTTATCTTGATACTAACATGCTTCAGCGTCTGCAACCTTGGCGGCACGTTCCCGCGCTTCTTCGTTCTCCGTCTCGTCGACTACTTCACCGTCGCAACCTGCCACCCCGGCAACCCCGCCGACATCGACGCACTCAAGGGCCCCGTCGTCACCGATCCCTTCTCATGCTCTCTCCAGCCCGACAAGGAGCGCTGTGTCAAGGGCGGTGGCACTTGTGACATGGTGCGCGACGGATACTACTTCGTCAACATCATCTGCGTCGTCTTTGGCGTCGTCACCTTTATGCTGTACATCCGTCCCAAGGTCCTGCACCTGCAGTCGCTGCCCATGAGGGCCTGGCGTCTGTCAAACTCCTCCCGGCAATAGATGTCGAGGGCTGTCTTTGAAACTCAAAAGAACGCATGTAACATTTTTATTTTCAAATCACAGCATCACGTAGCGAATTGGCTTGGAGACACCACTTATTTCTAGAACAAAAACAATAGTATTATGCTTTTCATTACCATATATGCGCGCTATGCCGTTATATACGTGACGCTCGCTCTAAACCCCTCGATTACGAGTAAGAGAAAACAACATCAGCTCTTCGTCTACTTCTGCAAGGACTGGATATGCTTCGAGTGCAGCTCCTGCACGGCAGGAATGATCAAGCTCTCAATCTCCACTTCGGGGTCGCCCTCCGGCAGCGCCGCAGGGTCGAGCGGCTTGTCCTCCGCCGGCATCGAGTCCCGCAGCCCTTGCTGCGCACTGGGGACCCGGACCCACCTGTCCCGCTGGCCCGGCGCGACGAAGACGACCTCCCACTTGCGCGTGGACAGCAGGTTGCCGATGACGAGGTGGTGCTGGTAGCGCTCAAGTGAGTACTTCGCCTTGTGCACGAGGATGGCCGGGTCGGTCTCGAGCTTGAAGCTGACGACCATGCCCTGCGGCGCCCAGCCGTCGACGAGGTTCTGCAGGAACTTGGGCACGGGGTCGAGGTCGATGATCAGGCGCTTGGAGCGCGGGATCGCGGGGGAGGAGTCGAAGTTGTCGAATGTTTCTTCGTCTTCGGAGGGCGCGCCGTTGCCGTTGCGGGGCTGAGGCGCAGGCTTGGATGAAGAAAGAGAGTCCGTGGCGTTGGTGCTCTGGATCTTGTGCTCCGCCATGCGGTCCTGCGGGAGGAAGAAGTCCGACACCGCGGCGGCGAGGTACAGCAGCGCCGACGGGCCGAGCGGCCCCAGCAGCCCCGCGATGGCGCGCAGCTCGAAAAGGTAGTCGGTGATGGTGGTAAAGGGCAGCATGAGGAGCATGTTGTCCTTGCGGGCGGCCTGGTACTTGCGCAGGACGGCGCGCATGCGCTCCTGGTGGCCGGGGTTGGCTACAACGGTGCCATCCTCACCCTCGGCCAGGAAATCAAGGAAGCAGTCGGTGGCGTGGGAGTAGTGCCGGCTGTAGGGCTGCAGGGAGAACTGGCGGTGCAGGAAGATGACGGCGTAGCCGGCCTCGAGGAAGTACTCGGCGGAGGTGGCGCCGCGGGTGCCGGCGGAGAAGTTGTCGATGAAGCGGACCGTCTGCTTCTCGAGGGGCACGGTGGTGCCGCCCGAGGTGACGAGGACGATGCGCCGGTCGGCGAGGGCGGCGTGGTGCGTGATGAAGGCGCGGGCGGCGGAGACGTGGGCGTCGAGGTTTTTCGGGGGCGGTTGGGAGGAGAAGTAGGCGTCCTCTTGGTGCTCGGCGGTTTCTGTTGTCATGATGGGCGAGATTGTTGTGAGATGGGTGTGTGATAGGTGGGGTGAACGTGGATGAGTGAGTGAGATCTACCTTGGTGTTAGTCACGACGGTACTTTATAAATTTTCAAAACAGAGGCACATCTCCGAAACCCTTCCCTTTCAGAAAGGAACCCTGAGAGTGAGGCATACAACCAATGTGGTCATCTCCCCCGCCGTCAACTCACACCCTCGGCGTCCCCATCTTCGTTTCAACCTCGGCCCTCCGGCCATATGACGCAGCGTACATCACTCTCACTCACCTTGATATATCACTGCCGGTAAACACTCAAGAGGCCGGGAGAGTTCGAGAAAACGAGTAACTGACGGGCTGCCTCACGCGTTGTTGAGAGACGACTCAAAATCGACCAGACAAGTAAGAAACAGCAACGACAGAAAAGAAGGGAAGAGAGACGAGGGTTTTAACCGTTCGCAGCGGCCGGGCTCTTCCTGTTACGGGCCGACGGGGGCCCGTGCGCCCCACCCGACCCTCCTTCCGTGAGGGATCCTGCCGGGTAATTTTGGGCACGGGGACGTCGGGTGGATCGGAGCTCGCGACACGGCGGCAGAGCGGGAAACTGGAAACTCTCACACGACCAAACTGCTTACGCCCCTGGCACGGACGGGCGGGCAAACATCAAACGTGCAGCAAGGGTGCTTTTTTTGGTCATATCAAGAGATAGCTGGCCCTTTTCGGCACCGATAGCCGCTGCAATACCGAGACGCCGGCCGCAGAACATAGACACTGGATTATTTTCATGATAATATTACATTAAGTATTTTCTCGTTAAACAAACAGGCTGTCTCTCAATCTTGGTCTACGTACAAATGCCATTCATCCTGCTATTCAAAACCCCAAAAAAGCTTTTTCCCGGCATCCCCTTTGCGCCTGAAGATGATTTCCCCCTGTAGCAAATGAAATCTCGCGTCTCCCCGTCTTTTAGAAAACAGCAAAAACATTCTTCCCAACACACACAATCTTGGCAGCAAGCAGCGCCGCAAAAGCCATCACGTACACTACACCCGTGAAGATGATGAGCCCCCAGTACTCCCCGCCCGCGGCCGTGATCAGCTCGCCGCCGATGGGGATGCCCACCAGGCACGCGACCGACACGCACGTGTACGTCGTCGAGTAGTAGCGCCCGTAGTGCTGCGTCTTGCACAGGCGGCCGACGCACACGGGCGAGATGCTAATATTGTTCCCGCTCGCGAAGCCGAACAGCACCGCGAAGACGATCACGCCCGCCGCGGAGCCGCCCGCGGGCAACCACACGGCCAGGCACGCGACGACGGACACCACGATGGCGGCGAGGTTGCTGTTGAACGGGCCCGCGACGTCGGCCCACCAGCCGGGCAGCGCGCGGCCGAGGACGCTGCCGGCGTTGAGGATGGGCAGGATCTGGAAGGCGAAGGACTCGCTGAAGCCGCGGCTGAGGGCGTACGAGGAGATGTACGTCAGCGGGATGAAGAGGGCGAACTCCATGAGGAAGATGCCGGCGGTGGTGAGACTGAAGGCGGCGGAGCGGAAGATGCGCGGGTCCGGGTGCGGGGAGGCGTTGCGGGGCGGCGGGAGGCGGGAGCGGATGAGGAAGTTGGAGGCGCCGCAGAGAGCGAGGCAGATGAAGCCGACGGCGCGGATGGTCCAGCCCCAGCCGAGGCGCGGGAAGAGGGACTGCATCATGAGGGGGAAGACGATGCCGCCGATGGAGCCGCCCGTGGAGGCCATGCCGGTGGCGAAGCCGCGGCGCCGCTTGAACCAGTGTCCGACGGCGGCGATGGACGGCGTGAAGACGAGGGAGGACCCGAGGCCGCAGAGGATGCCGAAGGCGAGCATGAAGTGCCAGTAGACTGTGGCATTTGTCAGTGGCGTCCGTTGAAGGGGGAGGCGGGGAGAGACCTACGCGTGCAGATGCTGAGCAACATGACCCCGATGACGAGACACACGGTGCCGGAGAGGACGAGCCAGCGCGGGCCCCAGCGGTCGAACACGGGGCCGATGTAGATGCCGCCGAAGAAGCACAGGAAAGTGTACACGGAAAAGATCCAGCCGATGGTGCCCTCGCGGTAGCCCTGCAGCTGGTGCGTGGCGACGTACGTCTGGAACACGGCGATGCTGTTCATGATGCCGAGCGCGGAGAAGAGTGCGAGCCAGGAGCCGAGCACGACGGACCACGCGCGCAGGCCGCCCTCGGGGTACGTCTCCTCCTCGGCGGCGGTGGTGGTTGCTGCCGATGGCACGCGGTTGATGAAGTCGCCGTCCTTGCCTGCGGCGGTGCTGTGGCCGGCGTTGGTGTAAGCGCCACCGCCGGCGTTGGCCACGGCGTTGGAGACGGAGGGGATCAGGTCGTTGCCGAAGGCGGCGGTGCCGTTGTGCGCTGCCGAGTCGGCCTTGTCCGGGACGGCGTACGCATAGCTGCTGTAGTCTGGCTCCGCCGGGGTGATGTACGAGGAGTGCGCGGTGGCCGTGTCGTTGTAGTCGTCGTTGGCCCCGGGGTGGTGGCGGCGGGATGTCTGTGCTGCCTTTTCCGGGTCCATCTGGGGTGTGTGGCGTGCGTGTGTGTACCTGTGTTAAAAGACGGAGCGGAAAGAAGAGAGACAAGGATATTATTTTGTGTTTCTGGAAGTGTTTCTGGTACAGAACCCCCTTCCCGGCGCTGTTCTTCCACGCTGCTGTCTTGCCTGTAGGTTTCGGGATCCGATGTGGTCTCTTCTGTTTGTTCCCCTTCTCTTGCACCGAACACTTCTTACTCGACAAGACTCTCTGTGTGTCTTACAAAACCGACCCTGCTGACTTCTCTGGCAAGACCTTTTCGATACAGGAAACAGGATAGACAAGATGTTCAAAATGATGAGAGACGAAGGACCGTTTCTGATAAAACAGTGACAAGATTTCAGAGGTTTCGGAAACTCAACAAGACATACAGCCCAGACAAACGTCCAAAGAAACCCGTCGTGGGAGGTGGGCAGAGGGTCACACTTACTTGTAGTTTTCGGGCCGCCTTGGGACTGCCCTTGGGTAATGAACCGAAGCGAAACAAGTGGAGGGGGTGTGTGTGTGGCGTGCGGTTCCTAAGTCGGCGGGCGGCGGCCGGTTCGAAAAGGTGGGTGTCAGAGAAGGGCGCGGGAACGAACGGGGGTGGTGGAAAGGGAACCGCACAAGGTTGGGTGGGTTAGGTGATTTGATGCAAGTCTTAAGTCATTTCTCCATCCAAAGGCGAGAAGCCGAGAGAGGGAGAAAGAGGCGGGAAGAGACCAAAGAGATTGGAAAAAAAAGTTTTTTGTGCGGTTGTCGCCAATCCATGCGCTTACCCCAGATGCCACGGAAGCACGCCCAAGGTAAGGTCGTGTAGTCCAGACCAGGGGAGCAGGACTACGTTGAGGTTCCAGTTCCTTCGATCAACCGGGGTGGATGGACAGGTTGGGTTGCAAGTCAGGTTGCGAGTTGTCCAGAGTCGTCGGCTCCCGCTTCCTCATGGGGAACCACGGTTCAGGAAGATTGCAAATGCCCATCCTTCATATCATCTCTTTCTTTCTCTCTCTGCGTGCGTGCCTGTCAGGCATCTCGCCAAATTCTCGTCTCATGCCACCCCTCCTGATCCCCGTTGTCTCTATAGAGTTAGAGAGAGACGAGACGCACATGTCCCAGGCGCATGGCCGTGTTAGTTAGTCCGGGGTGCGGAAGGGCGGCTCAAGGAAAACCAGAAACCGGAACGAAACTGACCAATGGCGTTATTTCACTTAGTCGTGGTTTTCCCTCCACGCCAAGAACCCTTTTTTTTTCGCCCTTCCCCACCAACCAAAAACGACCCCGGCCTTGAACCAAACGACACGTCCTTCAGCCGAAGCCGAGCCCTGGGTTCGTTATTTTTATTAGTGGCCGAGGCCGACGCCGTTCGGTCAGGTCCGGCGGGCAAGGTCACCCAACCACCAAACAGAGGCAGCAGGTCCACGCGGACAGCAGACTTACATGGCAGCAGACTGCAGTCATCTCTTGGGAAAGCTGTATAAAGCAACCCCGACGTCCCGCGCGGAATGCCGTATACCGCGAGACGAAAACCTCCCTCCCAATGCCGCAAGTGAACACGAACAAACGACCGAGCGGACATCCATGATGCAAGCGCCACCTCAAAGCGGCACATCTCGCCTGCAACTTACACCATCCAAGCCTCTCGACCTTTCCGCAACGGCCCGTCGCATTTCACCCAATGTCGATTACGCCCTCAACGACCTTTTGCATCTCTTGGCCGACTCGCCCATACGGCCATCTCTAGCTCATCGAGATCCCGTGGCGCCTATCCTTTCTCGAAGCAAACGGCAGGTGACTCATTGAAGGAAGAGAGTCGTGACGTCCGGGAATTAGTAACGGAAACACGCCTGAGACCAGGTGTTCCCTTTCCCGGCCGGGCGGCAGCGGCAGCGGCAGCGGCAGTCCACCCACTACCACCGACCCAACCCCGCCTGGGTGGCAGTCCTTCCCCTTTCCCCCTCCCCTTGGACGTCTTCTTCACCATTTGTTCTTGCACACCGCTAAGGACAGGCTCGCCAAGTAATGCACATGGCAAACGCGAAACCCTCCACTTGTCGCTGGCCCATGCTCTTCCGCTGCCCGCCAGACGCCGATGGCGAGTTGCGTTCGTTTGACTGTCCGGTTCCGGCCGCCCTCGCCAGTGGAAGTATGTGGCTTGGTCAAGTACCCATAATAAGTAGCCCGTGCGCTCTGCGTGTGCTACCTAGATTCGCCGTACTTTACCCGAACGTCTCGCTTTACGTAATATCCGGATTTCCAGCCCCGGGCCTCTCGTCACCCAGCAGCCCAACGGATCTCGGATCACCACAATAAGCGTGATCCCGAATGCTTACCTCAGCAGCGATGCGCATCCCTCTTCTTTGCCTGGCGGGACGGAAAGGCCGCAGCGCTGGCAGGGCGGGACGGGAACCAGTCCGTCGACCGTCTCTGCAGACCGGGTACGTCTGCCTGCCTGCTGCTGGAGTCCGAATTCCGCAAGAGGGCCGGCCACCTAGGTATGGATCCTAAACCCGCCTCCGTTTCTTCTTTCTTCTTTCTGATTTATTTCCCTTTTCCTTTACCTTTACCCCAGGCGAAAGAAGGCGGTCTCTACTCTTCTATACAAGTGGACGCGTAGGGGGGCCGCTCAACACACAAAAGCCCCGATGGCGGTTGGGCGAACCTTTCGGTAACATCGTGAACCGTGGCCAGGCGTCTCCGACCAGAAAGAGAAATGAGGCCAAATGCAGGCAGCATATCTGTTGATACCTTGAAGTTTATCAGTAAGAATTTTGTCCTTTCGGAGCACTAAAAAAAGGAAAAAAAAAAAAAAACCAAAAAAAAAAAAAGGAAAACTGGGTCACAAAGCCACAGACTACAGTCGCCCATCAGAAACGGGGGAGAGAGTGGAGGCTGCCAGGTTATTTGCGGCCGCGCACCGTCAGCCTCCCCATCCCTCTCCCCAAAGAAGGGGGGGGGGGGGGGAACAGTGCCGTGGAACACGGGGATCTTCCATGTTCGCGCCGACGTCACCAACGTGGTTCTGCCAAACTCGGAACCGAACGAGTCAGTGCTCGGCCGAACCACTGCAACACATGTCACGAAGCCAATCCCGGCCCTCCCTCCCCCCCCAGGAATTTTGCTTCAAAAATAAGCGCGACATGCTGAACCCTGGACAAGGTTCGTAATTCTGGTTTCCTTTAGATTTTAGGAGGGGAGGGGGGAGAGCAAAGGGAGTCCGTCGTCGTGGATTCACGATGCGAGCTCCTCCGCTGCCTCTCCCTCTCCCTCTCCCTCCTCGCGCAGCACCCGCATGCCCCGATGCCATGGGATTGCCTGCGTCTGCTTCTGCTTCCGCTGCTGCCATGCCATGGCCCCCTCTCTGCCAACCAAAAACGCCGCGCCTGCGAACACGCATGCAAACGCGAACCATGCTGGGCTGCCATGCTGCCATGCTGGCAGGGTCCCCCATCTTTCATACGACGTCGGACTGCGTTGGTATCTTAGGCGAAGGGGCCTAGGCCCGGCGGTCGACGCGCACTGGCCGGTCACCCTCATCTGGTCGAAATTGACGTGCAGAGAAAAAGAACGGCTCTCTCTCTCTCTCTCTCTCTATCTGCCTCTGTGTGTGTGTGTGCGCGGGGAGGTAGGAAACATCGGCAGTGCCTTCACCCAAGCGTTCCGCTGGGAAAAGACGTCCGCTGCTCAATTAGTAGCAGCACCTGGGATTATCGGGGGACTTGAGGTAGCAGTCGGCCCGAGGCGTTCGGCGCGCTGTAGGGCTGGGTTGTTGCTTGGTAAACGCCCTTGGCTGTTAGTCCAGCAGTGTCCAAAGAGGCGTACGTAGATCGGGTCGCTATGCGACAGGTCACTGTTCGCAAGGCACGTGCTCGTCGAGCTTACCTAGATTGCGCAGGTCCCTATAGCGGTGAGTGCGGTGAGTGAGCCTATCTGGGCGTACCACATCGCTTCGCTGTCGCGACAAGCATACGAGAACCTCATCGTCTCACGGCATCGAGTCCGCCGTCCACAAATTGCTGCCCGAAGTTTCATGCAATCTGTTGTTTTGATGCAGGTGCTTTTTCATTACGCTTACCGCCAGCCAAAAAAAAAAAAAAAAAAAAAAAAAAAAAAAGGCCAATGCCTCCACATGCTTTTAAATCTACCGCATCGACATCGTGAGCGGGCGTCTCATACTAAATACGTGTCATACCCATTGCTGGGCTAGGCATAATCATAAAAAAAAAAACAGCTGTAACGCATACATCTTTAACAACAACGCTGCAGCCTTGGTTGTTCCCTCATGCCTGCCGTCGACACAACGGGAGATCCGGGGACAATCCTAAAGGTTGACGTGGATGCAAACCGTTGGAAGCCGACGTCTCCAAAACTTACTGTCCATGTTCCTTTGCCCGACGCTGCCCTCAGTCTTGGCAATCACGAATGCCTTGAGATCTTCGTTTTTGATGGGCGATGGGCATAGACAAACCCCACGTGAATGTCGTTTCTATATCCAGAAGGCCCCTAGAGTCATAGGTTCGTTGGAAAGCGACGCAAGTTTGTCTCGTGCGCCTCGGACTCCCTATGGTCGACTGGCTCCATGACTCGTGACATCTTCCGCGCCGCATAGAGAACCGCACAGAGGCTTTACAAGCGGAGCGGACCATCAATTTTGTCCCCTCGGAGCATTGTCGTTCAGCAGGCCTTTGAGGAAATCTCCACGTTTGCTGTGTGGTAGCCCATCCAATTCGGCATTTGTATTTACGTCCGTCATTGCATCTGTCATTGCCTCGCCTTTTATTGTCGTAGCTGAGTCGGACGGACTGTCTTCACTCTTGGCGAGAGCATCGATTTGCACTCTGATCGTGTCCAAAAACTTGGCACGAGTCGTCGCGTCAAGCTTGGAGATGGACGGTTTTCTGCGTCGTTTTGTCAGCCAAAGAGCGTAGGCAGGGAAGGCCAATGGGGCCAGGACTATTCACAATGATTCGAACAGCGACAATATTTCGTCTAGTGGTAGGGAACCGTGGGACTCAACGTCTGCTCCTGGTGCCGGGGAGGACTCTGCTGACTTGGTAGAGGCCAGTTGGATCAACAGGTCGGCGTTTTTGATAAACTTGACAAGGTCGCCCAGGCCTGTCTGAATATTTGTGGTGCGCATGCGACGAATGATTTCGACCGATTCGGAATCGGTGCGCATAGAAAGTAGGTGGAAGAGCTCCTCAAATAGAGAGATGCGTTGTTGCAGTTCTTCGTGTTTGGATTTGAGGGCGGCGAAGCGTGTGACGTCAGGCCCAGCATCGTACTCGCACTTGGTGCGGCCCATGCCTGCACATAATGAGCAGACGGGACGTAGGCCGTCACATTTCGACTTCCTCCGACGGCATGATGTGCACGCGATCTTGGTCTGGGGACGACGTCTTGGGGCAGAAGAAGCACCAGCACCGCCGGTAACAGATTGCGGGGTCGACTCGCGCTCAGAAGAGGCGCCGCTGGCTACCGCTGGGCCTGCGGGCAGGAGCTCACGCTGTGGTTTCATGGTTTGGGTAACCCCAGCCTCGGCCTTGGACCATGGGAAGACCTGGGCGCCTCCCAGGTTTGCCAAGGGATGGTGAGTGCCGCCAGCGTTCGCGTCTGTGTATGTTGGTGTCTGTTGGGCGTGTAGTTGGCACGGCGAGATCTGGACTCTCACAGCAAGCAATTGGAATGGCGCCAGTGGACGAGTCGAGAGAGGTTAGAACGGGCCACAAAGAACTCTCAAGGGCCTTGACGGTGCGCGTCATACTGTCGACCCGCCGGCCATGCTGAGGGGGGGCCGGGGGGGGGGGGAGGAAAAAGGAAAAAAAAAAAAAAAAAACCCAAAAGAGGGTGTGTTCTGCGTGTGTCGTGTCGTTTGCTTTGATTTATCCCTCTTCCCTTCTAGCTCGGCTGGGGTTACGTCTTGGAAAACCCCGGTCAGGTCCGGATCACCTTGGAGAGAGAGAGAGAGAGAGAGAGCGCTTCAGAAAAGATCGAGTATGGCGGAATGGCCTCTGAGAGGTAGGTAGGCAGGCAGGTGGCCCGTTTTGCGCACGCCTTGCTGACTATACCTCATAATATGGCAGAGAGAAGAGACAAAATCTCAGTCAGGTAAAGTGCTGCGTACAAAAGGTGGGTAGGGGAAGGTCTGCTGTTGGGCACCGCAGACCGGGCAGGACAGGATCGACACCTCAGCTCCGTCGGTCGGCTAAGGCAAGGTAGGCTGGGCTGGGCTTGGCTCTGATTCTCCGTTGTGGATTGGACTGAGGAATGACGGAGAGCAGCGCCGCACCGATATATCGGCGTACTTGTTGATGACTTCCAGCAGCAGGCCTTCCGGGGAAGGCCAAAGTCAGCAGAGACACACATGAGCATGACTTTTTTCTTTCTTTTGAGGGGGAAAACGAGAAGGTTCACAATAACAAAACCCCATGCGCACAAAAAGTACGTCTGAAATCAAACAGGTTGATAGAGTTAGCCTGCAAAGTTGCCCAAACCCATGGACTCTTCTAGCCAGGGCCTGGCCAGGCGTGCAGCTGGGAAGAGCTGTGTAGCAACAGCAGCAACGGCTGCCCAGTCTGCCTACCCACCGTGGGAGGACAAGGGTGCCCAAGCGTGCCGCTGGTACTAAAAACCGCCGTGGCTATCGAGAGTTTGCTGGCGCATCGGGAACCGCAGCCGGCGGTTCCTGTCAGACCTCCGATACGCGAGGATAGGACGCTTCCGACATCCTGTGGTCTCTGTTTTGTCCACTGGGGGAGTTGCTCCGAGGGCATTTTGGGCGGCATGCTGTCTTGATGAGAAGGAGAAAAAGACAGAGGGAGAGGGGGGCCAATCAAAGGCTCCACTCTCTTTCGCATGGCAGCCACAAGCCTCAAGCCACAAGCCACGAGTGAGGCACTGCAAACTCGGAATAGTCGGACAAACAACGGGAGGGCATGGATGGAATAGGGAGGAAACAAAAGAGCGTGGATGGCATCTCGGATCGAGCCATGCAGTGGAACAACCTCCGATCCACAAACCAGCATTTGTCCCCTTCTGTAGCCATCGCGCGGGCCGCTTTTCAGGCCAACTCGCTGGTGGCCATGTGCGAAGGTATGTTACGTCGCGTGGTTGAGGTTCCGGCCCCGCACCACCGGCGGCTCTCGCGATCGATATACCTCTGAATGATCTCGCAGTTGCAGTCGCCGTGCTGAAGAATCTGATTCCTTAGGCTCAAAGAGGACTCCCCGTGTTCGTCAATATCGTTGTTCCATGCCGTCCATCCCCGGCACGAGTAATCGTTTGTCGGAGACAGCAAGTCATCCTGTTCTTGCAGAGTGGGATAAAGGGCGTTGATATGTCGCGAGTCTCCGTCATAGCTGCTGAGGCGACGTGCTTTGAATGTGCCGTGTCTCTCTACTTGCTCTTCCAGTCAGCCAATGTTCATGGAGGGTTAGGGTAGGTAAGAACTAACAAAAACCCCGGGTAGCGAAAAGGTGAGTTGATGGCGGCGGATGCAAGCCCGAAGTTAAGAGGAAGAGGCAGGTCGTGGTACTGGAGGAGCCAAAAATTGGAAATTGCGACGAGTGAACTGGGGACAAGGGAATATTTGACTGGACTATGAATGGATGGGAAAGCGATTGTGGACGAGTGCCATGCATGTCGAGGGGGGGGGGGGGGGGGAAGTGCCACGTTTTGCTGGAAAGTTATCCCGTGCGTAGGGCGATAGGGAGACAAGCTTGGAGGAGCGGATACGTTGCAGGGGAAGTGCCAAGTACTCACTGAGTAAGTTGAAGGAACGAACGAACGAACGAATGACGTTTTGGAAGATGGAAAGAAACATGAAACACAACGCTGGAAAACAGAGGCAATCGCATGAGACCAAGGACTGCTCAGTCGAGAATCCCAACGGCATGGACAGAGAAAGGAAGAAAGAAAGGAAGAGGAAGAAAAAGGAGAGTCAAAGCCCCAAGCAGAGAGATTGCGACCGAGTTCGTCAACGGCTGATGGTTGTTGTTGTTGAGGGACAGGTAGGGATCTGGCCAGTGGCGGGTGCTTGGGTTTCGGAATCCATTCCGGGCAAGCTGGAAGGTGTGATTGGCCACGGACTTTCTTCCGTCACTAATTTGTCAAGTCTCTCTTCAACTGTCGAAATCCGGTATCCTTGCTTGCAAAGCGGGAAAAAAACACCCACAACTCCGACACCTGCTCTTGCCCTGTGTCTAGCGCGCCGGCCGTTGGAACGAACTGTGGACAATGAAAAACGCGAGCTGGCGGAATGATGAACGCGGCAGGGCGACGAGGTCGATGTACAGTCGCTGGCGCTGTCCGAGCAGGTGGCAAGGGAAGGTCGGTAGGTACCCAAGACAAGTTGAGGCGAGCAAGGTCAGTGCATGATGTGAGGTATGAGCGCGGGATCGGCAAGAAGGAAGACGCAGGCGCAGGCGCAGCAGCAGCAGCCGCCAGTGATGGATGGTCTTTATCGCATGGGCAAAGCGAATGATTGGCCACGGAATCCTCTCCGAAACGGCCAGACCTGCCCCCTATTATCTTCCCCGGCATCGAGGGCCAGGGCTTTCATCCATCTCTGGTTCGTCACTGACCCTCCACACCTCGCTTGCAGAAAGAACAGTACCACGGTAGGGATCAGTGAGTCTCCGGGTAGAAACAGGATTTGGCGACAAGCAAATGTCAATCCATCCCCGGATAGTCTCCCGAGCCTTGAACATTTCACGCTTATTGGACCCCTAACACTCGGAGCCTTCGCTGCGGCCATGTGGCAAAGCGGGGGTCATCAGAACATCAGTTTGTCTTGGCGATTCTCTCCCGTCCATCCTTCCTCCAGCCTGCCTTTGCGTTCGCCTACTCTACAAGCTTCGAGCTTTGATGGCAGTGCCTTTTAAGCCTCCGCCGCACTCCAGATCCAGAAGCACCTTCGTCGCCACCACGTCTCGCAAGAAGAATCCCAGCTAACCCTCCGAAACCATGCGACGGCAGGTGGGCCGCTGTGAGTACGTCGTAGCGTCTTGTTTGTTGCCATTGGGTACCACCATCGGGCGGGAAGACGTTGGATGGATGAGGGGAAAGGGGAAAGGGTAAAAAGGTTGAAAATAAAATGAAAAGAGTATGCGACAGGATGCAAAACGTCCTCAAGAGAAGTAACAGAGAAAGAGAAGAGACGAAGCATCACGCAACAACGCTGTGGAAACCCTCATCTTGACGCCGCGATATTAACTTGACCAACGCCGTAAATCATCCAGCAGCTTACCAAACACTGCCGTGTGTGATAACGCTCGTCCAGCCGCCCCCTCGGAATGAGCCCATCGCTGGCGGGACTTTATTTTCAGATGGACTTGTATGCTTGGGCACCCGTTGGTGCGGCTTGTCCGCTGATGCCACTCGCGGTTCTGGCGATATATCCCTGGATAAGCTCGCAGTTACAGTCGCCGTGCTGTAGGATTTGGTTCTTGAGGGCTAGCACCTCCTCTTTGAGTGCTGTCACGTACGCGTCGAGGTACATTCGTTCTTGTGTGACTTCCTGCTCCTTGACCGCAAGGTTTTCTTCGTATAGTTTCGTCTTTTCCCGGCATCGCTTTGCTGCTGCCCGATTCTTGACGCGGTACTTTTTCGATCCCGGACGCCAGCTCTCGCCCTGCTCGCCCACCTCATCTCCCTCACCCTCATACTTGGTATCGTCGTCTATCATCGTCACCTTGTCATGGTAAGAACTCGAGCTCGACGGAGATGGGTTGCCTCCAGCCCCGATCTTTGCCCTCTTGTGGCTTTGTTGGGCGGCCGACCACGTAGTGGGGGACCTCGTGTTGTTAGTTGCCTCTGTCGTTTTTGTCGGTTTCTTGGCTCGGGAATGGGGTTCGGTTTGCGACTGCGCATCGGGAGAAGGCCAAGTCTCGCCGCTATACGTGTTCATGGACGAGACCGACGGTTCTTGAAAAATTTGATACTGGAATGGGGGCCAGTTGTTCGCTTGGGAAGCCCACGTAGCCGTCGCCTGTTCCACACCCATTTCGAAGTATGAAGACTCCAGATGCTGAGCCCCGCCCTCCAAGTGCGGAGGATTTACAAAGTCGACAGAGTCGTTCTCGGCATACTTGGGTTCGACTGCGTGGTCGTCCCACCCGAGCCATTGCTGGCATTGGGGCTCCGCGCCTGGGGTGAGCGAGCAGTTCTGGCATGGAGATGTGGGATATAACGCCATGGGTATGAACATGGCGGTATCCGTAGCTTCAACCACACCTGGATAACAGGGGTGGTCTGGCGAGGCCATCGCGTCTCTATGCTCAGTGGTTAGCTGACTTGGAATTTTGACCTGGGCAAGACTCGTCGACGCTTCAGCTTACGAGATGATGGCGGGCCCTTTCAGGATCAGACCGCCTTGTGATGGTGATTGCAAAAGGATCGCAAAATTCAAATGACTCGGTCAGACAACGGCCGTTGCTGAGTTCTTCGTCCGATACGCCAAACACACGACAGAAGTTGAAACTGGGATGTGGGATGGCTGGTGGATGGGAATGGAGACGGCAAGGAAGGATAGTAGGCCACTGAAGATGGATGGATGCAACTCCGAACTTAATAAAAAAAAGCAGACACGTACCTAGACTGCGCAGTCCGGAGAAGGTGAGCCCTACCAGTAGATGCGCCGGCGAGGCAAGGAGAAGTAACAAGGGTAAGTTGGATGGACCGCTACTGGGTAGTAGGTACCTATCAAAGTAAATGTGGACAAACATCGCAGGGCGTCTGCCAGCTATGCTCTGCGGCCAAGGCG